ATTATTGGCGCATGCGACGCTGACCTTTGCCAGGGCCGCATAAAACTGGATTCCTGTGAAGATACGAGGATGATAGGTCGGCCATGCAAAGAAGAGAACAGTGACCGGTGCGGCCTTTGCGAAATTGCATAGAGATGAGCACACTTGCAAGTCCATAGCCTGGGTTTAGGTCCCGAAAGTAGCTCCAAGTCCGTAGTAGAATCTCGCACTGCTCGTTTATATTGGTTTCTTCAAGAACGATTTTCAGTAATTCAGTGATTTGAGCGAAGTCGACCAGTCTCAGACCGCTCAGACTGCTTCTTTAGGTCGCGGTGCCTCAAGTCCCAGAAACGGTCTTAAGCGAGAGAGACTTTGAACAGGTTCGCTTTAATACGGATGATGATGAAATCTCTTTCCCATAACAAATCGTATACCGAAGTTTCGCTGCTTCACGTGACAGTTGTAATATAGTTGCAGATCTAACGGTGTGCTTAGCGCGCGCCAGCCGGATTGGAATAAATTGAGACTGATATATTAGATGGCGTTGAAGTAAATATTTGCTTTGATAAGAACAAAAATCCGCCTTACACATGCTAACTGATGGATGATGATTCATTACGAGAGCTCATCTGAGGATTTTTTTGTCCTCTTTGTTGTTAGTGTTTTTTACGTTTCGAACCTCAAACTCAACACACAATCTATATAAATTAAATAACTCACATTGCATATTATAATAATTTCATTGAGCAAACGAGAGCATTTATGCATTTCCTGCCAAAAGTGACCAAAATATACTGACACACATACATACATATGTATGTATATACATGAGTACATATGGATGTGTGCTTATCTAAATACGCATAGACGTACACTCATCTACCATGTACCCACCCTGTGGGTAAAATCTCCAATTCTGAACTGGTGCGCGTCTAGTACATTTAGTTCACGCTTTCGAGCCAGTTTTAAATTCTGTAGTTCCGAACAAGTTCTAAAATCGACAGACGAAAGAAAAAAGTATAATAATTTTTCAATCTTTTCGGTTTTTCCGTGTGCGCGATTTTAAACTATTTTCAAAGAAATGTTTTTTTTTTTCAATTTGAAATTAAATTTGTTTGAATGATTGTAAGAAATGTACGCTTCCATACATTTGGCTGTAGCTGTCGTTGCAGAGGTGCCCGCTGTTATTCGTTAGATTCCAGACGGCGCCAAGATGTTAAAATGTTAACACAAACTTTTGGTTTTGTATTATCAAACTATGAAAAAGCATCTGCGAAGTGTAGAATAAAAGTGTATTTGAACGAAAAAGCCGCCAAACACATGTCTATGTAAAGTAAACAAGTTCCCGCTGTATCCCTTTTTCTATAATTCTCCGAACCAGTTCTAAATTCGACAAATAAGATATAGTTCTCTCCACATCCCTTTTTCTATAATTTCGAACCAGTTCTAAATTCGACACCTTAGATATAGATCTCTAATGAAAAAGTGAAATTAAATTTGGGTTGTTCACGCTTGCCTGGTTATCAGGTTATCTGGTTATCTGGTTATGCGGTTATATTTTTTATTCAATTTACAATAATAACATACCCTACAGAATAATAATGTTTAACCAGATAACCTGATAGCCAGGCAAGTGTGAACAACCCAATCATTTTTTTTTTTTTAAGTACCACATTTCGCTGATTTTGATAGTTATTATCGGACTGGTTCGTTTTTGGCGATAAAGATTTTGTACGGAACTAGAAATTTGATTCACTAGTCCGCGGTTTCCCTGCAGGGCATGTATGGTAGTATACATCGCAGTCTATCAATGTTCATGCTCCAAATACATTAGTGCCACATGCCGCCACAAGGTTATATGTAGCTGCTGAGTGCGTCAACTTGCCGTTAGCCAAAGTAGTAGTGTGCTACGCTCAAACACTTGGCTTCTAATGAAATTATGTGTCAAGGCTTTTTCCAAAGGCAAAGAACGTACGCACACTGACTGACTACTGCTGNAACTAGAAATTTGATTCACTAGTCCGCGGTTTCCCTGCAGGGCATGTATGGTAGTATACATCGCAGTCTATCAATGTTCATGCTCCAAATACATTAGTGCCACATGCCGCCACAAGGTTATATGTAGCTGCTGAGTGCGTCAACTTGCCGTTAGCCAAAGTAGTAGTGTGCTACGCTCAAACACTTGGCTTCTAATGAAATTATGTGTCAAGGCTTTTTCCAAAGGCAAAGAACTACTGCTGTGGCTGTGGCTATGGCTGTGGCTGCTGGTTGGTCGTGTGGCTTGATGTGGACACAAATGTAAATTCATCAAAATATTCGTACCTATATATATGTATATTTATATGTGTCCAACTTACCAGCTTTCATTATAAGTAAATCGAGGCATATCAATTATTCAAAAGCATACCTACTGTACATTTACTTCTTTGCCTTATTTACAAGTATGTAAGTATTTATTTATTATTGTTCTTAGTGCCATTGACATTTCTTTTCTTGAACTACTTATTCGTACTTTCTAAATATTGAAATATTGCGTGTTGTTCTTGTTGTCGCTTACTTACAGATATGAAACTTACAAAGCAACTTTGAAAAAAATACCCGCCACACGCTTATCCCGCCTCACCGAAGCATTGGCCAACTATGATCCGGTGTTGAATGAATATTTCTTCGATCGCCATCCGGGTGTGTTTACGCAAATACTGAACTATTACAGGTAAGCAATGTTCTATAAATACATTTTTAATTTACATTTACTATAGATTTATGTGCGGTCCATTAGCGTTCAGCAAATGATTCGCACAAATGTGAAAACCCTCAGAAAAGTCCGGTCTTATTTTATTTTTTTTTTTTGTTTTGACATTCCAAAGTTATTTGCTGTTGGCCATTTGTTGAAAAAAAAAAACTTTTTTGTTTACACGTATTTTCCGCATTTGTGTAATTTATTACTGTTACACTTTGTGTATACTTAGTTTGATTGATTGAGTCGCCAATGCTACGGCCCCTTTTTGACAGCGTTGCTTACAAATACTTTGCTGTCAATAATGAATTAACCTGTAATTAATCAATTAGTTTTGTTGGTGGCAAATCAATGGAACTGAGTTTATGAGCTTGCAAAAATTGACTGAAATACGTGCATACACACAAATATGCAAGAAATATCAGATTTCGAAATTTACTTAATTAGTGTCGAGTAATTGCTTTGTAGACGTTTCTAAATTTCATTGCTTTTGTGGTTTACAAATACATAGTCATCGAAGATTCATACATTTTTTATACTTCTGGTTGCTTATTGTTAGGTGTTTTTTCTAATTACTTTTCATAGATTACTTTAAGCGGTTAAGTCACTGTTTAGAGAGTACAAAATATTTTTTTTTAACGCATATCGATGGCTGAATCATGATTTAATAATGACACTTATATTTTCTAACAGGGCAATTCTGGCAACTGTCTCAAACTACCAGTCTTTTGAAAGACTAAGGTTTTCAATAAGGCAATTGTCAATTCCGGCAACTACTTTGCTTTGTTTTTTTCTGTCTTTTGAAAAACTAATTGAAAGATCTGCTAACGACGAGGTCTTAGTTTTAGTTTGTCTTTTAGCAATTAAAACTTAAATAAAAACAAAATATATACATATGTATTTTTACTTTTAAAACAATAAAAAGCCAAAAATTAAAATAATGCATTCAAGAAAATTAAATTAGAAAATGTATGGGTTTCTAAAAATTAAATAAAATTAAAAAAATCTTCTTTTTAAAACAATAAAATCATAAAAACAAAAAAAAAAAATTATTAAAAAAGAAAAAAGAAAAACGATTTTCTTAAAAATTAAATTAAAATTTTTTTTTAATATCCAATATAAACTAAAAAATAATAAAATAAAATTAAAAAAAGGAACAAAATAAAAAGCAAAATAGAATAAGTTCCTAAACAAAAGAATGAATTAAAAAATATATACATATGTATATATTTTTTTAACACTAAAATTTAAAATTAAACGATAGAAAATTAAGTTTCTAAAAATTAAAAAAAATTAAATAAAATCATTTTCTTTTTTAATTATCATATTCTAAACTTAAAAAATAAAATAAATATTAAACGAAATAAAATAAAATTATTTTTCTTTTTAAAACAATAAAATTTAAAGGGGAAAATAAACCTGAACTAAAAAAGTAATTAAAAATAGGAAATGAAATTAGATACAATAAAATCTAAAAATTAAAAAAAAATAAGAAAATAAAGTTAAAGTTATCGATATTTTTATCGATTTTGTTATGAAAATTTTTATCGATATTTTTATAGATTTTGTTATGTATATTTTTATTGATATTTTTATCGTTTACTAATTGATTTTGCTACCAATATTATTATCGATTTTGCTATCGCAATTTTTTTTAGTATGTTTTTCACCTTTCCGAAAGTTACCGCTACATGGTAAGCCGGGGTGTATCAATTTTGAGTAAATTAGCGTCCTTAAATTTCGAAATATTGAAGTTTCGAGCATTTCTAAAATTTACCGTTATATGAAAGACGGCCGTAATTTTAGTCAATAATTTTCAGTGCTTTGCATTTATGTGGCAAGCACAAAAACCGTACCGAGTTTGGTATAAATTGGTAGAACGGTTACCGACATATATGTGATCATAAGTGGGCTGTGCCACGCCCATTTTCCAAAATTTTATCATAAACGTATTTCTTGGTGAAAAATTGTTGCAAGCACCTATTTTGAATAAATTACCTTTAATATTTACTGCTTTATCGAAGATTTCGTATTTCTCTAAATTACCGTTATATGGGATGTGGGCCTGATTATAGCAAGGTCAACAACTGTGCCAAGTTTGGAAGAAATTGGTGCAGCGGTTACACTTTCCAAGTAATTTCAAGACCCAAGAATGATAGAATTGTATTCTCTCAATCGCGGCTAAGACCTGCTGTTAGCAGATCTTTCAACTAGTCTTTCGAAAGACAGTGAAGAGCTAAGAGGTAAAATCTTACTAAATTGAGAATTTACTCGCATGAGCGATACAGATGCTGCACGACGAATGAAGAAATTACACCGGCATACTGACTTCGACTTTGTAAACCTAGAGATATTGGCCCGTAGTCATAGTCAAAATAAAGTCGACTTTAAAATTAGTTGCAGCTTTTTT